AACCTTATCTATTAAGCTAATCTAGATTATAGCTTTTTTTATAAAAAAGATATTTATAATAATCGTTAAATTATTAAGAAATAATATCTTAATAGCCTTATAGTTATATAAGCCTTTATTAAGATCTTTAAAGCTATTAAAGAAGCTAAAGGCATTAAAGTTAGTAAATTACTTAATAATAAAGACTATCTTAAAGCTATCTTTTAGACTTACTTTTAATATTATAAGATATAGAAGAAGTTCCTTAAGGTTCTTAGCCTCAATAATATATATTAAACTAACCGCTTTAAAATACCCTTCTTTTAGGTTATTAGCGTTATAGATTAAAAGAGCTTATTAAACTTTACCTTTAGCCTTATTAATAGCGAAAAAGAGTATTATTTTTAGTAACTTATTAAATAGCTTAATAACCTATAAAAAAGCCTCGATATACCTACCTTAAAGATTATTATTATAGATAAAGAATAAGCTCTTTATATAGCCCTTATAAGGGTATTTCTTAATATATAGTAATAGCTATATATATATTACTTATTAATTAATATATATAGTAAAATTAACTCTTATTAAAAAGACGAAAATAATTATAATAACCTTATTAATGAGAACCTCGCTAATGAACCCTAATCTATTTAATAGCCTATTTATAAACCTCCTTTATAAGCCTTTTAAGCCTAAGCTTAATTTCGAGTAGATATAATAAATATAAGAAGGTCTCGAGACTTTTACTAACTTAGCTAATAATAACTATAACTATTAAGGGATATATAAGGCTTTTTAAGCTATTATTTATATCGCTAATTACGATACCTTTAAAGACTTATAGAAAGCCTTTATTAAGACTTTTAGCTATAAGTAAAGGTATATCTTATAATATATATAAAATAAGTATATATTATAATATAAATAATAAATAAAGTATTATATTAATTAATATTATAACTTTAGCTAAAGGACTAATAGTTTAGTTAAGATTATATATATAAATATAAAGTCCTATCTTTTAATAAATATAATAAACCTCTTTTAGCTTTATAAGTCTCTTTTTATAATATTTATAAATAAGTCTCGTAAATATAATTAAATAGCTATTAGATTTAAGTAAAAGTAATATTATAAATATATTTAATAAATATAGCTTAGAAAGTTAAGTTATTAACTTATATACTTAATAATTAACTTTCTCGTTAAATAATATTACTTTACCTTTATTATAATATTTAATTAATATAAGCCTTAATTATTAAAGGTATATATAAATAACTTTAAGCTTTAATATAGCTTACCTTATAGTTATATAATCTTTAAATACCTTATAGAAGAAATACTATTTCGCTAAAGTTAAATTATTACTTATTAATAACTTAAAAAGCTATTAGTTTATTTCTTTATATTATTAAATACCTTACTTTTAAGCCTATTTATTAACTATTAATAGAACCTTAAAGATAGTTACTTTAACGTTTATAACCTTAGCGTTATAACTAATAGCTATAGCTAGCTACGCCTCGATATCGCTAATAAGAAGCTTAAGGTCCTTTAATACCTTAAGCTTATTAAAGACGCTAAAAACGATATTATTAATAATATTAATAATAATAATATTAAAGCCGATATTATATAATAAAGCTAGGGCTCGAGGCAGACCTAGAGCTTATAAGAGACTTAAAGTAAAGATAGGGGTAAGGCTTAAAGCTATTAACTTAATTAGACTATAAGTTAAAGGACCTAACCTTTAAACTTAAGTATCTATTATAATTACTTATAGTTCGAGCTTAAAGATAAGCTTTTATAGCTATTATAGGCATTATAAGTATTATAGCTAGCTTTAAGGAGCTTATAGGCATTATAGCTAGCCTTAAAGGGGTTATAGACTATAAAGGGATTATAAGATAGCTATAGCTAGGCTTATAATAGCATTATTACTTATAGCTAGTCTATAATATTACGAACTATATTAATAATATTATAAACTATAGTAATAATATTATAAGCTACCTTAATAGTATTATAGGCTACCTTAATAGTATTATAGGCTATATTTACCTTAGCCTTATAAGATAAGGTTATCTTAGCTATATAGCTATAACCTTAATTACGCCTAGAGCTTAATATAATTAAGGGACTTAATATATAGACCTTAAAGCGGAAGAATATACCCTTAATATTATAATATTATAAAGAAACTATATAAATACGTTTTTTAAGTAATTTAGGCCTTACTAGCGCTATAATTAAGGTAGATAAGGTTAAAGGCAGTAGATATAGTTAATAGTAATAAAGGTATAGTTACGGGCGTTAGTATAGCTAGCTAGCCTAGCGGAAGGATCTAGAATAGAATAATATATGTCTAAATATAATAATATTATAGGGAAACTATAGAAATGCGTTTTTTAAGCGATTTAAGCCTTATTAACGCTATAGCGCTATAGCTATATTATAATAATATAATTTAATTAAGATATCGGCATATATTATAGTATAGCGCTACTATCCTATGCCTATATACTAAAATTAGCTAGCGCGGGCTAGTAATAAGGCGCGGACCTAGAAATATAGAGACGGGTTATATATATAGTAAAATATAGTTATACCCCTAGCACTCCTCTAAAAATATATTTTTAAAGGAATTAAGCCTTCTCGTTACTTTATTAACTTTATAGTATAATAATTATATTATAAAAATATAATTTAATTAAGATTTTAAGGTATATTTTAGCGTATTATTATTATCCTATACTTATATACTAAAAATAGCTAGCGCGATATAGAGGTAAGGTATAGACCTAAAAAAATATAAAATAGCTATATAACTAGACTTTTTTATTTTATTTATATAATATTACTTATTATTATTACTTTTTTTATCTTTTATATTTTTATTTCTTTATTTTCTTTATATTTTATTACTTTTATCTCTCTTTTTTATATTAATAATATATTATTATTTTATTTTATATTTATAAATTTATATATTTAATTTCTTAAAGTTTAAATAAAGTATTTTACTTTTAATACTTTTTATTTATTATATATTATATATAACTTTAATATATAATAAAGCTTTTTAAATTAAATATATTTTATTAAATATATTATCTTTAAATTAATATAACTTAATTATTATTAAATTAATAAGTAAATATATATATTTATAAATAATTAACTCTTTAATTAATATAATATATATATTTCTTAATTATAAGATTTAAAATATAATTATATTTATTTAATATTTAAGAACTTTAATATTATATATAATATATATATATAAAACTTTAAATTTTTATAAATAATTATATAAATTAATAATATAATTATTTAATATTAATAATATAATTTATTTAATTTATTATTATTAAGGAAATAAATATATAATAAAAATATAATAAAGAGATATTATTATATTAATAATAGCTATAAAAATAATATAAAAAAGAAGTCTTTATATTTATATTAATTAGCTTTAATTAATTAATATAAATATATATAAACTTATTAAAATAATTATTATTTAACTTTAATAAGTTTATATTAACTTTAAATAAAATAGCTATAAAAACTAAGATAATTCTTTATAATTTATTAATTATATATAATTATTTATATTTATACTTTATTTAAATAAATACTTAATTATATTATTAAGTAATTTTAATTATTATAAGAGTTACTTTTTCTTTATTTATTTTTATTTTTTATTTCTTTTTATTAAGTAAATTAAATTAATTAATTAATATTTAGCTTTTACTTTAATTATTTATAATCTTAATAATAAAAGTAATATTTATTATTTTTATATTTAAACTTTATAATAAAGACCTTTTTTATTAATATTTTACTTATTTTAAAGTTTTTAGTAAATATATTTCTTATTTTTATTTTTAAATACTTTAATTAAGCTTATTTAATATTAATAATAATAATATAATTTAAAGTATAAAATCTTATAATACTATTTATTTATATTTTAAAGTTAATCTTAAATTATTATAATTAATAAACTTAATTTAATTATAAAGGTTATATTTTAATTATTTATTATAATAAAAATAAGGTATTTAATATTATTATACTTTAAATATAATAAAAAGGATAAATTTAATTTAAAATAATTTTTAAATATAATTAAATAATACTTTTTTTAATAAGCTATATTAAATATAAATAATATAAATAATATAAATAATATAAANATAAAGAATATAAAGAATATAAATAATATAAAGAATATAAAGAACATAAAGAATATAAAGAATATAAAGAATATAAATAAATAATATAAAGAATATAAATAAATAATTTAAAGAATATAAATAAATAATATAAATAATATAAATAAATAATATAAATAATATACTTTAATATTTATTAATTATAAATAAAAAACTTAATATATATATATTTATTTAACTTTTTTATATTTAAATTATAATAATTTTTATAGCTTTTTTATTAAACCTTTTATATTATTTTCTAGCTATTTTTTTAATTCCTTTATAGTATTAATAATAAGATTAATTTTTCTTATATTTTTAACTTTTAATTTATTATTCTTTATATTAATTTTTTATTACTTTAAGTTTTTTAATAAATTCCTTACTCTTATCCTTAAATAGTCTTTTTAAGCTTATTTAATATTAATAATAATATTAATACTTTTTATATATTTATTTAATAATTATATATAAGCTATTAAGCTATAAGCTATAATATAAATAATATTATTATTATTAGCTAGCTAATAAAATATAATATTATTAGTACTTATAGCTAGCGTATAAGTCGGGATAATAGATAATCCGGCGCCCGGCTTAATAGCTTTACTTTCCCCTATGCTATAAGTTCTTGCGGCATCAGGAATTTTTAATGTGGCTCCGATACTCGGCTCACCCTGAATCATGAAGTCAGCCCACCCATTTTAAATCTCTAGCTTAGACGCGGTCGCAGCTAGGCTTTGCCAGTTCGTTACCTCGTAACCACTCGGCGGGCCGTTAACTATGTCAATTCGAACGCTGAAGATCGGTAAGGCGCCATCTGGTCCCCCTTTCACCTCTCGCTGCGCCACCCATGACAGGGCTGACGTACTAGAATAGGGCTCATCGCCGGTGACGGTATCGGCAAGGAAGTCATTCCCGCCGGCCGGCGTGTCCTTGAGGCCCTTCCCTCCTACCTCAACCTCAAGTTCGACTTCGTCGATCTCAAGGCGGGTTTCGAGACCTTCGAGCAGACTGGGAGTGCGCTCCCTGATGCCACCGTCGACGTGCTGCGGAACGAATGTCATGGTGCCCTCTTCGGCGCCGTCAGCTCCCCGACCCATGCTGTCAAGGGCTACTCGTCTCCCATTGTCGCCCTCCGCAAGCGCCTCGACCTGTATGCAAATGTTCGCCCCGTCAAGACCGTCATGACGGCCCCCAAACCCATTGACCTGGTCATTGTCCGCGAGAATACCGAAGACCTCTACGTCAAGCAAGAGAAGACGTACGAGGGCCCCGACGGCAAGGTCGCCGAGGCCATCAAGCGTATTTCCGACAAAGCGTCCTTCCGCATCGCGGCCATGGCTGGTGATATCGCCGTTCGCCGCCAGAAGATTCGTGATTCGGGTGTGCCGAGCATCCACAAGTCTCCTCTCGTCACGGTCACCCACAAGTCCAATGTTCTGTCCCAGACCGACGGGCTCTTCCGCGAAGCCTCGAACAGGGCCCTTGCAGACCCCAAATACGCCTCGGTCAAGGTGGAGGACCAGATTGTCGACTCCATGGTGTACAAGCTTTTCCGCCAACCCGAGGACTACGACGTCATTGTTGCGCCAAACTTATACGGTGATATCCTCTCTGACGGTGCTGCTGCGCTCGTAGGGAGTCTCGGCCTGGTTCCCAGCGCCAACGTCGGCGAGGGCTTTGCCATGGGCGAACCTTGCCATGGTAGCGCCCCGGACATCATGGGCAAAGGAATCGCCAATCCGATCGCAACCGTGAGGAGTGCTGCCCTCATGCTCGAGTTTCTCGACGAACCAGCGGCCGCGGCGAAAATCTATGCAGCTGTGGATGCTAATCTGGAGGCTGGCAAGCTGCTCAGCCCCGATCTCGGCGGCTCCGCTACAACCGACCAGGTTCTAGATGATATCCTGTCCCGGTTATAGAGATAAAACAAGAGTATCCTTATTTTCACACACGCATTTCTCTATTTTCACACACGTCGCACCGCCAAGACCGGGCTACAGTGCCACACTATCTCGAGCCTACAGCCCGCAGCCCGGCAGCCCGCGATGGCTTCAATTGCCTGCTGCAGCCCGCGCAGCCCAGCAGCCCGCGATGGCTTCAATTGCGCTGCAGCCCGTGCAGCCCAGTAGCCCGCGATGGCTTCAATTGCCTGCTGCAGCCCGCGCAGCCCAGCAGCCCGCGATGGCTTCAATTGCGCTGCAGCCCGCGCAGCCCAGCAGCCCGCGATGGCCCCAATTGCCTGCTGCAGCCCGCGTAGCCTAGCAGCCCGCGATAGCTTTAATTGCGCTGTAGCCCGTGCAGCCCGCGATGGCCTCAATTGCCTGCTGCAGCCCAGCAGCCCGCGATGGCCTCAATTGTCTGCTATAGCCCGGCAGCCCGCCATGCCTTCAGTTGCTGCAGCGGGCTACGTGCGCAGGCCGCTGGAATGACACTGTAGCACCCCGGCAGGCCTATTTTTAGCGCTCGTGACAGGGGCTCTTAATGGCTGTACGGGCCTTGGCAGCGGAGTTGTGTGAAAATAGAGAAATGCGTGTGTGAAAATAAGACTACTCTAAAACAAAAGGAAGGGATAATCGTTAAACTATAAAATGATGTATAAAATCATCTATCTATTCCTTGGGTTCAAGCTGTGAATAAACATAGTACCAGACATTAATCCGGTATGTTACGTTATGAACGGCCTGGCTCACGCATCTCACGTGTGGCGGCGCTCCGGTGGTCCTTCGGGCGATCATGGTTTTTCCGATCCGGGTGGGCTCTCTCCGTCCACAACCCAGAGTCTCCATCTGACTTCATCCATCGCTCTCCACTTAGACCGCTCAGGTAGCAGCAGAGTTTCAGCTGCCCGCCGCCGCTGGCCCATCTCGACAATCCTCCCCGACGTGGCTCGCCGGCTCCTGGCGATTCCAACCACCACCTGCCCGTGCCTTGAGCAGTACAAGTTGGTCGACTGCACATCTTCGCCGTATCTGCACGAACCAGACATTCTCACTTCCCCAGAGCCGTCGGCTGTGATGGCCCGAGCATCTTCCACTCTACTCGTTTCCTATCACTCTTCCTGGTCCTGGACAGCCATTGCCGAGGCTGGGCCAGGTTTCTTCGAGGACGATTTCCACTAGACTTTCCCTAGGCTCCCTACCGTCATTCTTTCAGATCCGTTACCAGCATGGCCGACCAAAGCGACCCATTCGCCCCAGGCAGCGTGGGCAGCGGGCACAGCAGACGACAAGCCGCCATCCTTGATCGTTTCCTGCCAGATGGCTACTCGGCCGACCCCGAGGCTAGCTTGGGTGCGGAGCCCACGGAGCGGCTATCTCCCGTACAGTCACCGCTTGCACTCGAGGACCAGCCGCAGCCCGTGTCCGCTGTAGCCTCTAGCATTGATGCCGGTGGCGAGGACCAGTCGGCCGCCGGTGGCGAGCCTGCCGAGTCCTCATTGAAGCTACAGGGGGGTGACATTCACCGCGATATGTACAAGATCAAGGCTCGCGCCAACTCGCTTCGTCGAGCTGCCACCTTCTCTCACCAGCCGTCCCCCAGACTCCACCCGGCCGACGAGCTCTCTTACCCGGAGCAGCGGGAACCTGGTGGGTTCCGGCGCCAGCACCTGCAGCGTCGGGCCCGGCAAAGACGCCTCAGCGGGCCGCTCGTCGTAGCCAAGAACTTTGTTGACTTCCTCGAGCTCTACGGCAGTTTCGCCGGCGAGGATCTGGAGGATGCTGACACGTCCGAGGATGAATCAGCCATCGACGAGCGCGAGGATGGTGGGGACGGCGAGCGGCGCCCTCTCCTTCCTCGCCCATCGCTGGGTCACCGCAGGAGCTCCCGGCGCCAAGGCCGAGCCGGAGATGCCAGCACCGTGAAGACTTTCTTCACTCTTTTGAAGGCATTCATAGGCACAGGAATTATGTTCCTTCCAAAGGCTTTCCGCAACGGCGGGATACTTTTCTCCTCGCTTACGCTCGTCATTGTCTCACTCATCAACTGCGTTTGTTTTCGTCTACTGCTCGACTGTCGCCAGAAGTACGGTGGAGGATATGGCGAGTTGGGCGCGGCCATCGTCGGGCCCCGATTCCGCGGCCTCGTCCTCGCTTCCATCGCCTTGTCCCAGCTCGGCTTCGTCTGCGCCGGTCTCATCTTCACCGCGGAAAATCTGTGGGCCTTCCTGGATGCGGTGACTCAAGGCCGGCACGGCCCAGGTCTGGGTGTGCCCGGTCTCATTGCTCTGCAGCTCGTGCCCCTCGTCCCCTTGGCACTCATTCGAAACATTTCGAAGCTGGGCCTCGTGGCTCTGCTGGCGGATGTGTTTATCCTGGTAGGACTTGTCTACATTTGGTACTTCGATATCTCGACGCTGGCTCGAAGCGGAATGGAGCCGTCGGTTCGTTTGTTCAACCCTTCCGACTTCACCCTGACCATTGGCTCAGCCATCTTCACGTTCGAGGGCATCGGCCTCATCCTGCCGATCCAGTCGAGCATGAAGAAGCCCCAGCACTTCGGGCCTCTCCTTTACTTTGTCATGTTCCTTATTACAATCATTTTCACATCCGTCGGCGCCTTGTGCTACGCCACCTTTGGAGAGCGGACCAAGATCCAGGTCATCTCAAATTTTCCTCAAGATTCAGCTCTGGTCAATGCCGTGCAGTTTCTGTACTCGCTGGCCGTCCTTGGGGGAGAGCCTGTGCAGCTCTTCCCTGCTGTGCGCATCATTGAGACGTCCTTGTTTGGCGAGCGGGCAACTGGCAAGAAGAGCACCGCCATCAAGTGGAAAAAGAATGCCATTCGGGCAGCGGTAATGGCCCTATGCGTTGCCATCGGCATGGTCGGTGCCACGGACCTGGACAAGTTCGTGGCGCTCATTGGTAGCTTCGCCTGCGTTCCGCTGGTTTACATATACCCTGCGTATCTGCACTACAAAGGTGCAGCAGAGTCAAGCTCGGCCAAGGCTCTGGACGTGGCTCTGATGGTGCTAGGCATCATAGCCATGGTCTACACTACTGCGGTTACCGTCTTCCAGTGGATATCGAACTAGGGTAGATACTACAGCAATGCATGCCCCTGTCTAGGCGTCTTCTCCCGCACGGCACGCCGCGTCAAGATTGCCGGAGCGAACTTGGACATGTTGTCAAGTCGTCCAGCTTCCTGGATTCACTGTTGTACATGACCATATGGCTCGGCCAAAATCAAGTCTGGCCACTAGGTGCCATAATTTTCCGAGCTGGCAAGAACACCTACTACCCGACCCAACTCGTTGACAGCGCTGCGGCAGCGTCATAGTGCCTCGCATGCGCTAGGCATAGACTGGCTCGCCTCCTTGACTGGATATATGGGAGGTTTCTTCCGTACGTAGTCAGCAAGCAGACGCGACAAGTGGGCTGTAGTTAGGAATAGAAGCAACGACAAGCTGCAAGGAAGAGAAGGAGGTGGGGCCCCGGGCGCCGCGGGGGG